GGGAGGAAGGGGGGGTGCGAACAGTTCGTGAAACTGCTCAACAAGTCCCTTAACCCCCGCTCACCTCCTCCTTCCTCCTCCTCTTCTTCTTCTTCTTCTTCCCTCCCCCACGTTAGTGCCATAGCCATAAGGAACATTTTTATTCTTCTTCTTCTTCTTCTTCTTCTTCTCCTCCTCTCCGCCACGTTCGTAGTCATAGCCGAACTTGCAAAAGCCAATGATTATTTTTTTCCTTCTTCTTCTAGCTCATCCTCTTCCTCTTCTTCTTCGTCTTCTTCTTCTTCTTCTTCTTCTTCTTCTATCCCCCACGTCGGTAGCCATAGCCATAGCAGACTTTTTTTTTTTTTTTTTTAACTGCTGCTTTTGTTCTTGATCTTCGTCTTCTTCTTCCCCTTCTCCCTCCTCGGTGGTAGCCATAGCCATAACCTACAATTTGTTTTTATATTTTCCTTCTTCTTCGTCGTCATCCTCTTCTTCGTCTTCGTCTTCGTCTTCGTCTTCGTCTTCGTCTTCATCTTCATCTTCGTCTTCGTCTTCTTCTTCTTCCTCTTCTTCTTCTTCTTCTTCTTCTTCTTCTTCTTCTTCTTCTTCTTCTATCCCCCACATTGGTAGGCACACCCAAAAGCAACTTTTTTTTATTTTTCCTTCCTTTTCTTCTTCTTCTTCTTCTTCTTCTTCTTCTTCTTCTTCTTCTTCGAGTTTGCCCACTATCGTAGCTATAGCCAAAGCCAACGAGTTTTTTTTTGTTTCATTTTTTTCTCCCCTTCTTCTTCTTCTTCTTCTTCTTCATCTCCCCCCACGTTGGTAGCCATAGCCCTTCTTGTTCTTCGTCCACCAGTCCCATCGTCCTCCCCCAACCATAGCCATGACCAGCCTGCTTTTTTTTTTTCCTTAAAAAAGTTGCCCCTCTTCCTCCTCCTCTGCTTCTTCTTCTTCCTCTTCTTGTTATTCTTCTTGTTATTCTTCTTGTTGTTCTCTCTCACCGGTGGCCATGACGGGGGGTGCTGAAGAATGAGGTAGTCGGGGAAGAGCAACCGCAGCGGCAAAGGCGAAAGGACCTGCAGTGCCTGTTGTTGACAGGCCTGAGTCGAGCACGCGAACAACGACGCCTGCATTGGCTACTTCAGTTGCCGGCAAGAAGGCCCCCACACCAGGAACCGATGCAAGCTTGTTCCAGGGGAAAGAGTGAGACGGCACATGTCGAACTGCGAAAGAAAAACAAGGTTTGGATCTGGTGTGAGCAGGGACAGGAGGTAGGTACTTCGAAAGGGAGGGGGGAGTACTGGGTCAGGTGCAGGTTGTGCTCAACAATCTGGAGGGGGTTGGCAAATAAGGCTACGGAGCATTTCTTGAAGCCGATGAATCCGTGTGCACTGCGGACAGGTGAGGTAGTCCACAGTTTGGTTTCTGCCGGTGCTAAGGTGCAGCCAAGCGACAAGAATACAAAGTACTTGCTGCGGAATTACAAGGGAGGTGAGGTGGAATCAGATGTAGTTCGTTGTCGTGCATCGTGTGGAGAGGAAGGCTTGGAAGATCCGCAGACAGACGAGCCCCAGCCACCACCTGTTGCAGGGTGGGCAGTTGCTGGCATTGCAAAAGTGGTTGTTGCTGCACTTGGCGAGGCTGTAGGGGGTGGAGGTGCAGCGGAGGGTGGAGGCGGTGACGAAGGGCAAGGGTTGACAGCGCGAAGGACTGCCTTGAGACAGACCACTGTGCAACGGTGGGTGGACAGTGCGGCGCAGAAGAAGCTGGACAGGGTGGAGGCCATGTTCAGGGCTGGTATCGCGTTCGATTTCTTGAACATGGACACGACTCAGACATTGCATGCCGTGTACCTGGAGATCGCCAACTCGAGGCCGAAGGTGAAGCTCCCTTCGTACAACTACATGAGGACGATCATGTTGGACATCATCTACATGACGATCCAAAGGGAGGTGAACCTGTTGACGGCCTGCTGGGACTTGACTGGATGCATGTTCATCACCGATGGGTCAACTGACCACTGGAATCGGCCAGCGACGGACTTCTTGGCGGCGGGGGAGCAACGGGCAGTGCTCGTGGCGACGGTGACAATGAGTGGTAGGAAGAAGAATGTGGTGGAGTTGGCAAAGTTGTGAGAGCAGGTAATGAGGGAGATTGGATTGCAACGCATCAACGTGATCTGCACCAACAACGCTGAAGTTAACAAGAAGGCGGCGCAGATCCTAGAACGACGCAAGGACAAGGGCGTGGCCAGGATTCAGGAATCATCATGCCACACATGACTTGATGATGACTGTTGCTGACTCTTGTCCTCGCTTCGTCCCACGGAAGTGCGGTTCGGATTCGTGTATCAGATGCTCCAGCGGCTAGCAGACATAGAGGATGTTCTTATCGAGATGGTGGATGGGAGGTCAGCTGGAAAGTGGAGAGCGTTGAGATGGTCAGGGGAGAAGTTGCACAGGAGAGCCGACCTCATGTACTACACAGTGAGGTCCGAGTTTTGGTGGCCGCAAGTGAGGAAGATTGTGTCGATCATGCACCGAATCTTCCAGTTGCTGAAGAGGATGGATGCAGAAGGCACGCCTCCCACCAATCTTGTTGAGTACGCTGACATGATTGGGCGGAAGTTGACGAACGTGGTGTTGACGAAGAAGGAGCGGGAGGATGTCATGGACAAGGTGCATGACCACGTGCAAATGATGAGGCAGCCAGTTCATGCAGCTGCATTCGTTCTTGATCCATGGAGGAGGAACGAACATTGGCTCTTCGATCAGAATAATGTAGTGACGCAAAATGCAATGCGCTTCTTCTTAGGCAGATCGAGGGTGAGTGGAACAACAAGGCACATTTGACTTGTGGGGGGAACTGATGGAGTTCCAGAAGGAGCCCTCGAGTGTTGCGATGCAGAATGTGGGCATGGAGCCTGGGAAAGCTATGAAGAAGTGCAAGGATGAGAACATGTGGAAACAATGTGCAGTGGACGATGTGAAGAGGCTAAACCCTGCGACCTGGTGGGCAACACATGGCGGGGATGTCCCGACACTTCAGGCAATTGCAATCAAGGTCATGGGAATGTGGAGCATTGTGACCCCCACTGTGCGCAACTGGGCATCCATGGACTTTGTCCACACGAAGAGACGAAACAGTTTGTCCCCAACATCCATCGAGAAGCTCGTCTACATACATTGGAACATGCAGTTGCTGTGAGCTCGACACCACAAGAACAACAGGGTCGTTGACGTCTGGGGTTCGTTCTTCGAGTCAATCATGGAGCCACAGCAGAACGATGGGTCGACGCTGGTGGGCAATGCTGAGGATGTTGTTGAGAAAGAGGATGAGGATGCTGCTGAGACAGTGGATGAGGAGATGAGGCAAAGGAACATGGCGAAGGCTCGAAAAGGCAGGATCCCCCAAAACCTAGACGATTCCCACATGAGTGACAGCAGCGACCTCGAGGATATCGTGTGGAAAGGGAAGTGTTGGAATGAGTCATTGAAGGATTGCAGCGAGGATGAGGACTCCGATTTCGAGCTCAGTGTGGTGCCCGCAGTCCCAGCGACCACATATGTTGGTAGGCGAACACGACGACAAGACAGGGATCTCGAGGTCAAGCCGGCGCCGGTTGTTGAAAGAGTGGACACAGACGTAGAGTTTTTTCTGCACCACCACGACGACCCGGACGAGGAAGAGGCCACACGTGCAAAGGAAATGGCTGACAGGGATCGTGAACTTGTGGACAGGCGAGTCGCCGAGGAGGCCTGTTGTGCAGCGATCCTTACCCGCAGGGAGAGAGCGAGGTGTGCTGCACAACAGGAAAAGCGCGCGGGCGAGGCCTTGAAGGATGTGGACGGGGATGTCGACCCTGCCATGGAGAAGGGGGAGCAGCAGCAAGAGGAGCCCGCGGACGCAGAGGAAGAGCAGCATGCAGCAGGTGCGGTGTACATGCGCAGGCCCCGCCCATGGGTGGAGCCACAAGTGGGAGCAGAGGAAGAGACCACCAACCAGCATGTTGCAATTAGCGAGCGGGTGCAGGAGCAGCAGGATGAGCACCAGGCCGCAGAGAACATCGCCACACCCCCGTTCCCAGAAATGAACGATGCTCTCCACCATCACAACCTGTGGAAGAGCAGGGCAGGGAGGAAGAGGAAGGCAGCCGTGGAGGAGTCCCCAAAAGCGCCTCAACGCGGCACTAGAAGGCCCAAAAAAAAAAAGGCAGTCGAAAAGACTCCGCCGCAGCTCGGACGCCGCAAGACTATGGCTCGCAAGAAGCCTATCATCAGTGATGATGACCTGGATAGCGATGCCAGTCCCCCGCAGTCATCCGATGGGGGGATCGACACATGTAAGTCCGATTAAGGGATCAAGGGACAGAAGTCACAAAATGTGTGTGTGTGTGTGTGTGTGTGTGTGTGTGTGTGTGTGTGTGTGTGTGTGTGAGAGAGAGAGAGAGAGAGAGAGAGAGAGAGAGAGAAAACTTCATAAAAGGGGGATATAACTAGCTTCAACAATAACATTTGAAAAAGGATATATGATATATCTACTTATTGCTGGTGAACCAGATATTATCATCAAGCTATTATTATTATTATTTAATAATAATAAATATTATTATTTAATTAAAAAAAACAGATCTATAAGGTGCTCAAAGATACCAATGAGATACTCTATAATTTTTATTTTTATTTTATTCTTTTTGAAGTTTTTGTAATAAAATGATGAATGTTAATATAACTCAATAACTTAATACTACTAAGAAAAGACAGCCTTCGAAAGACCATACATCAAATAGTTAAGCCAAAGCACAACCATAGATGATCCAGATCTTCCATCACCGAACCTTACTCACAACTTCGACAAAAGGGGGCTCCATGTAATAATAACATAAAGTGGGTTAAAAAAAAAAAAGACTTGAGCCAAAGCCGTGGGGTTGTTCCTTGTCCACTGGAAAGACATGAACGTAGACTTGTCCGAACTGGAGCAAATGGAAATAACGAAAAAAGGAAAAGGAAAAGGAGAGAAGGAGAGTTGCAAGCCGCACTACAGATTTTATTACAGCATTGTGTTGTCAACAAAGCACTGGTTGATGGAAGCCTCTGTTCATTTTTTTTAATTTTTTAAAAAATGTAACTCTTACACGAAGGAAGTAAGAACAACAAGGCCCAGGGTCCAGAGGCATCACTCTACCCCATCCCGTCACGTCATTTGTGATGCAAAAAGCCAGGCAAGCCCATTTCACTGTTTTAACTGTTTAACATCATTTCAGTAAGTAATTTGTGGATTTGTGGACGAGAACTCCGCGGCCCGCCCGCCAACAGGACACAAAAGAGATTGAGCAACAATTATATTATTATAGTTAAAAAATAATTTAAGTAAAAAAAAAACAAAACAAATTGTAGAATTTGTAAAAAAATACTATAGTAAAAATAATTCAAGTTTTAAAAACAAAACAAATTGTAGAATTTCTGAATTTGTAAAAATGTCCAATAATAGTAAAAAAGTAATTTAAGTTTAAAAAAACAAACAAATTGTAGAATTTTCTGAATTTGTAAAAATGCCTTTTAAAATTCAATTGCCTTAACAATGCAGAAGAGATGAGACTGCACATATGCTAATATAGGAAACAAACTTTAACAAAGTTTAACAAACACTCGCAATGACTTTCAAAATTCCAATGCTTTTGCAAATGCATGCAATGCAGACGCGCGCGCGCGCGCGCGAGAGAGAGAGAGAGAGAGAGAGAGAGAGAGAGAGAGAGAGAGAGAGAGAGAGAGAGGAGAGGAGAGGAGAGTGTATGGACTCCGCGGGCGCAGTCTCACTCGCAAAGAGGATTGGATTTTAAGCGCCAGAACCTGGATGTGGTTTGTGCATAGATGCAGAAAAGCAGATCAATTGCATCTCAGCAAACCCGTCCAGATTCAGGCATTAAATCCAATCCTCTTCGCTAGTGAGACTGTGCCACTGCAGACTTAGTACAGGTTGATTGGCTATGGCTTTGGTTGGAGTTGGCGAATCTCAACCACTTGGAGAGAGAACGTCATTCACCCCTCGCTCATTCACATGTGAAAAAAACTAACTCACCGGTAATAAGGCCAGTGGACCAGTGGGAAGAAACCTCTGCCAAGCAGTTGTATGATACGACTCCACACCCACAGTCGCAATAACCGCCCGCTGGTCGTAATCCACCTTGACACACCTCAAACCCACCATTTCCCGCACTCTAGATCTGCTTCCATCAGCACCCACCTGGCAAGATGCACAAAAATGACAAAATGTCCAACATAATTACTGCACCTGATGTCCTTCGGGACATCCATTAAAATCGGAACGATACAGAGAAGATTAGCATGGCCCCTGCGCAAGGATGACACGCATAAATCGAGAAATGGTCCAATTTTCTTTTTCCAAACAAACAAAAAAAAAAAATACTGCACCTGACCGCACTGCCCTATCTGGTCCAAGATATTGTTATTGCAACTTATAAATCAGAAATTCAGAAGTAATTTACTAATTTGAGAAATTTGAGAAATTTAATTGAGAGCAAATCAACATGACGAAGGAAAACCTAGGCGGACTCTAGGCATGCTCACACTAGGACTTTGCTGGATTTGTCTGATCTCGATCGCGACCAGAGTGAAAAATGTTGAATCGAATTACTGCACCTGACCGCACGGCCCTATCTGGTGGTGCAGGAAATTGTTATAACTTAATAAATAAAGAAATATTTAAACTTTAAACTTTAAAGAAATTTAATAAAAAAAACACCGGTACACCTGGGCATGGAGGCGCTCACTGTGCACCAAGCTTTGCTGAACCGCCAGCAGCACACTTTTTTTCTTCTTGGGCTGGCATGTGGCCCGGTAAGCCCAAGGCGCGAAATTTTTGGATGGGCGACGAGTTCATTTTCAGCAAGGCTGGGGCCGTGTGCTGGCAGTTTAAACCACCAGTACTTCCTAAAGTCATGCCCGTAAACAAGCCACGATTTTAGGAAACGTATGGCCCACTACAGGAGCGCCCAAATTCATCCGACTAAAAACGTTGTTTCTACTCTATTTTTTCCCGCGGCCGATAGCTGGGCCACGTACTGGTGGTTTAAGAGCAAAACAACATGACAAAGGAAAACCTAGATAGACTCTGGGCATGCTCACACTAGGACTTTGCTGGATTTGTCAGATCGCTGCCAGACTCAGTCTGGAAAAAGTCCCACTTGGCACTTTATAACACGATGTGAGGAACTGTAAGGCAGAGTAAACATGTGCAACACGAGAGTATTGCAGAATCTCCTCGTGGGTGGTGAGTCTAATGACACAGACTGATTTTCTCCTAGTGGGTAATGACACAGACTGATTTTCTCCTAGTGGGTAATGACACAGACTGATTAGCCAGATTCTCTTCCCGATCCAACCCGGTGATACCGAAGACTGATGTACGCGTCCCACAGAGGATGTGAGGGACACTGGACCCGATTTCGTGCAAGTGCTGCTCCCCACCAATAGACTGAAGCAACCAGTGGTAGGCCTACTAGCAGGAGTATCACTCCCTTCCCTACCCCTCCCTCCCCCTACCCCCCCCCCCAAAAAAAAAAAAAAAGAACAAGGAAGTAGGCTGAGCACTTGACCGACTGGAGAATACCCTATTGGTGCTTTTCAAGTGACTTTGAGCCATATGATAATCAATGTGTGCATGGACCAGCCACTGAGAGTCTGCAGAATCTCATAGTGGGTAATAAGTCTAATGATACACACTGATTTTTCTCTTAGCGGTTGATCACACAGCATGATAATCAACTTAGTGGTTAATGACACAGACTGATTTTCTCTTAGTGGTTGATAACACAGACTGGTTTTCTCCAGACTGATTCTCATCACCGACCCAAAACAGGAAGTAGGCAGAACTCCCGGACTCCTTTTGAATTTGGCAATATATAAGCATAATTCCCTCTCTGCCTACGGTTTACCGGGCAGTTCTGTTAGATTATATATATATATGTGTGTGTGTGTGTATATATTCACAGGTACCTTGAGGGCAGTGGTTGGTGCCCACCTCAGGGTATCAGTGGTCGGGCAGTCGTTGATGCTTAACCACAGCCGGGGTTAAGGTGGATTGTCACTTACAGTGTAATCAGTAAGGGAATTCTGCAGACTGTTGAGGGTTCAGCCTCCTGATGAGTCGGTGAAAGTCCGACGAAACAGTTTGTCACAGCCCCTCGTTTGTTGTCCTCTTCTCCCTCTCTGCCCTATATATATAGTATTATACACACACACACACACATATATATATATATACGCCCGCATCCTTATGACAGTTGTCCTATCTGTCGTGAAGGTCTTACTTAGACGTACCTTGCACCCTGACAAAAATGTGCAGGTGCGCTAAAAAGAGTGTACAAGAATGTGCAAAGGTGGGGAACCCTCCACTAAAACTGCAAAACTGTGAAGAATGCAGTAAAAGAAGAACATAAGTTTTTGTTATCTTACGTTGTTTGTACCCTGCACCCTAACACCCTCAAAACAGAAGTCCGAAGGGTGAAAATGAAGATGAAAAATGAAGAAGGAAGTGCAGGTGTGCTGAAAAATGAACGTGGTAGACTCTTCACCAAAACTGCAAAACTGTGAAAGAAAGAAAAATGCAGTGAAAGAAAGATGTTTGGGTCACTTTTTGTTTTTTCTCCCTCTGCCTACCGGTTTTCCTTTTCTGCTCCTCTCTTCCTTGTGTTTAACACCTCTTCCTTCACTCTGCCTCTTTCCCATAGCGTGCAAGTGGGCTGTTATGGCATACGGGGATGGGGGCAGCTCGCGCTCAACTTCATCAATGTGGCGAGCCTTGTACGTTAGAGGCATAGTGGAGGAGGCGTTAAGAAGACTGAGAAACTGAATGATTTCAATGTGTCTTTGTTTTTTATTTTTATCCTTTGATTCAGTGTAATTTTTTTTTGTAAAACACTGAAAGAAATAATAATACTGTGAAACAAAGAATAAGAGGACACTGTTTTGTGTCATTCCGGTTTGTCTGTCTCTTTGCCTGTCTGTCCTTTCATTTTTCTGTTCTTCGCTCATCTGATTTCTTCTTCTACTTCACGTGCTTAAGCTCTTAGTCAATAGTTCTGTGACAATATAATATATATATATATCGTCACATATATTCATCTTATTTCTTCTTCTACTTCACATGCTCATGCTCTTAGTCAATAGTTCTGTGACAATATATATATATATATATATCGTCAAATAGAACTGCCCGGTAAACCGTAGGCAGAGAGGGAGAAGAGGACAACAAACGAGGGGCTGTGACAAACTGTTTCGTCGTCACATGATATCAGAGTGCCGAAGGGAAAACCGAAAGAAAACAAGGAAACAATAAAAACTTAATTCATTTTTAATCTTCTGCCTTACAACTCCCCCTGTTCAGAACCTCTTGCGTACAAGGCCGCCCACGTGGATGTAGGTTGATCGGCGCCTGCCCCCACCCCCGTATGTCATATCGACCCGCTTGCGCACAGCCAAAAGGCAAAGAGGCAAAGAAGAGAGAAAGGAAACAGCCAAATAAAACAGAACAGGGGGCAACAAAACAGATCCCAGATGACAAGTCCCACATGCAAGCACCGCCCCTGCCCACAGGCCAAACGACGGGACAAGACCAACCAGGATGTCAAGCATTCTTGTCTGCAAAAAAAATAAAAAAGAACCCGGAGGACAGGTATAAAAAACAATCCTGGATGATGATTCCCACATGCAAGCACCGCCCCGCTTTCCAAAAGGCCGAACAACGGGAAACAACCAACCAGGATGCCAAAACAATAAAAAAGCCCGGATGACTGGTCCCACATGAAGCACTGCTACCTGCTTAGACCGAATAACGGGACAAAATATATATATATATATATATCGTCACAAACAGAACTGCCCGGTAAACCGTAGGCAGAGAGAGAGAAAAGGACAACAAACGAGGGGCTGTGACAAACTGTTTTGTCGGAGTATATGTATATATATATCGCCACAAATATATAACAGGGGGAGTTGTAAGTAAGACGATAAAAAATGAATTGATATTTTTTTTGTTTCCTTTTGTTTTTTTCACTTTTGCACTCCGATAACTTTGTGACAATATATACTCTGGCGTTGCTAGCTCTCTGCTTTTGTAGATGATGCGGCGAGCGTCGGACCTGTACTAGCAGGCTCTTTCTTTGGCTATGGTAGAATATACTCTTTTCTAATTCTCCTTTCTATCTTTTTTCTTTTGCTTTGCTCTTCCNATTTTTGGTACTCTTTGTCTGCATCCCAGTTGGTTTTGTCTCGTTGTTCGGTCCACGTGGCGGTGGTTTCATGTGGGTTGTTCGGTCCACGTGGCGGTGGTTTCATGTGGGACTTGTCATCCGGGCTTTTCCTTTTGGCATCCTAGTTGGCTGGTTCCCGTTGTTTGGCCTATCGAAGGGGGAGGTGCTTTTAGGTGGGAATCGTCGTCTGGGATTGTCTTTATAATAGTCCCGTCGTTTGGCCTGTGATGTAGGGCCTATCGAAGTTTATATAGTTTTTTTCGCGGGCAAGGATGTTGATTGCTATCCTGGTTGGTCATTGTCCCGTCGTTTGGCCTGTGATGTAGGGGGCGATGCTTGCATGTGGGACTTGTCATCTAGGATCTGTTATGTTTGTTTTTTGGCACCCTTGTCTGCATCCCGGTTGGTTTTGTCCCGTTGTTCGGTCTATTTTGGTGAGCGTAGCGGTGCTTTCATGTGGGACCCGTCATCCATTTTCTTTTGTTGTTCGGCCTATGAGAGCATGAATGGTTTAGGAATGGGAATACCAACGTCTTGATGACGAACAAGGCCATCTGCTGTATATAGATATGTATTTGGGATTTCTTTTCTTGCAGGCAAGAGTGTTTGATCCTGGTTGGTCTTGTCCCGTTGTTTGGCCTATGAAGTTGGGGGCGGTGCTTACATGTGGGGCTTGTCATCCAGGATCTTGTTGCCCCCTGTTTTGTTATATTTGGCTGTTCCCTTCCTCTTTCCTTTGCCTCTTTGCCTTTTGGCTGTGTGCAAGTGGGTCAATATGACACACGGTGGGGGAGCAGCCGCCGCTCGACCACATCCACGTGGGCGGCCTTGTACGCAAGAGGTTCTGAACAGGGGGAGTTGTAAGTAAGAAGATAAAAAAAATGAATTGATATCTTTTCTGTTTCCTTCTGTTTTTTTTTCGCTTTTGCGCTCTGATAACTTTGTGACAATATATATATCGTCAAACAGAGGAAGAAGAGGACAACAAACGAGCCCATCAAACAGAGCTGCCCGATAACCGTAGGCAGAGAGGGAGAAGAGGACAACAAACGAGGGGCTGTGACAAATATATATATTGTCAAACATATATATAGTTTAGTTATCTGCATCATTGCAATTTTGACAGCTGAGATGTCCCTGAGGATATAAAATGTTAAAAGTTGAAAGTTAAAAGTTGAAAGGTTAATAACTTAATAAACTTAATAAAGCTCAATAAAGTTACGTAAACCCAAAAATGGGTCCTGAATCCGGACCTTTTGTGCTTACCAAGAGCCGAGCATGTATCGTCCTTCCGTTCTCAAGCACAATCTTTGCCCAGTCGTGTGTAGATGCCATCCTTGCATCCTTGTCCTCCTTATCTGTCCATATTTCAATCCATTGACGTCCACAAGAACAAGACATAAATGAATGGCACAACATGTAACTATTACCAAACAGATCATGAGTTCAGACTTCAAATCCTGTGGATGACTAGATTAATATGTCTGGCTACACAAAGCGTATTAGGACTAGATCCACTCCCTCTTTTTCAAAGGAAGAAGGGGGACGCTGGACTGCGGGGGAGGGCACTTCTTTTGTCCCACAGTTCTTCTTTTGGAGTCTGGGAACTGGAGCCAGACCCCTTCTTTTCTTTTTCCCCGTCTCTCGGGCCCTGTGCAGCTGGACCCAAGGCCCTTTTTCTCGGGACGGACAGGGGGAGCCAGGGGGTTGGGTTAGGGCGCTAGGGGGTCGGAGGTTTTTTTTTGCCCCCTTCAGCTGCTCCTGAGTTTGTGGATTGGGTGACCCAGGCCAAATAATGACCCACCTGTCACCGACCTACCAGGTGACCCCGACCAAACCTTCAACCCCCCATCACCCAGAAAGGCCGGCTAACCACACTCATCTGTGACCCACCCAAGCCGGCTTATGTGGCACCCAGACCCGACCCCATAACCTGGTGGGTTGGGTGGGCGCAGGTGGGGGCGACTGTGGGCACCCGGTGCCCACCTCTGTCATAATGTGATTTTCCATACCACTCCATCGACAGTGCTGGTATGTGCCATTCCTGATTGTAGTTCCTGATTCTTTTATGCCCACCCGGGGAGGTCAGTGCTGCTGTGCTTTGTCAGAGGAAGGTGAGTGATAATCTCTCTCTCTCTCTCTCTCTCTCTCTCTCTCTCTCTCTCTCTCTCTCTCTCTCTCTCTCTCTCTCTCTCTGTGTGTGTGTGGGGGGGGGGGGGGGGGGGGGCAGAATGATGGAACAGAGTGAGACACTGTGATGTTGCTGTTGGCTGCATTGAGGAGGTGAGAATTTGTCATCAAGCTGTCTACTTCCTCCGGGCTGACAACAGGCATTGTCAGCATGAGTTCCGGCGTTGACATTCTCGGGTCCGTCGAAGTACGACAAGCAAAGCTTCAGCCAGAAGTCATCTTGCTCTAGTAGTTAAACCACCAGTACTTGGCCCTTAAATAAATCGGCCGTGGGGCGTTGTCATTAACGCCCCGCAACTTCCGGAGGCTCGGGGTACCGGCCCTCGAAGGCTGGCACCGCCAGCCAAAACAATTTTTCCTTGTTGCGCTGACGGGTCGGCGCGAAACGGAGCGCAAAACCGTTTTCAGGTTCGGCATCGATAGCTGGGCCAAGTACTGGTGGTTTAATACTAATCATAATACACATACACGTGCACACAACACGAGCAAATGATGGTGCAGGCGCACAAAAAGAAATGTCAAAACAATCCGTCAAAGACGGACGGACTGGATGCAAAAATTGCAAGAAAATTGGAGAGCTTTTCTCAAGCAGCTTTTGGCCGGGGTCACATGCTAAAACCACATTAGGTGAGTTTAGAAAAATAAACAAAACTTCTGAGATTTTTTTGAATCATTTTTCTGACATTTAAGATTTTTATTATTATTATTATTATTATTATTTTGGGGGGGGGGCGGGGGTTGGTCTGCCGCACTACCGGCAGTCTCCAGTGCACCTTATGCCTGCTTGCCATGAAATTAACTGCAAAACGTCGAGATTCTAGAGAATCATCAAGTATAAGGTCAGGTCTTTTTAGTGCTTAAGAAAAAACAATTTGAGAAAGTACAGATTGCGGAAATGAACTTTTAAACCAGCAAGCAATCCACCACTGTTAGGCCACTTTCAGCGCACCTACCCCCATGCTCTCCACCTCACCAGCATAAGAGGTCAAGCATCATCATTCAGCCCAACCCACCAACCACCCCCACTCCCATCGCCACCCGTGCCACCCGCACCCCCATCCCCACCCCCATCCCCCCCCCCCTTTTTTTTTTTTTTTTTTTTAAAAAACCCCCCCCCCCCCCCCCCCCCCCCCCCCCCCCCCCCCCCCCCCCCCAAAAAAAAAAAAGAACAAGGAAGTAGGCTGAGCA